GAGATATAAACTCAGAATTCTGACTTTTTCCCCTCACAATTCTAAGTTTACATCTCGCAATTCTGTTTTTTTAACCCACTCATGAAAAAAAAGAAAGGTAATTATGACTTTAATTAAAAATTATGACTTTTTCTTGTAATTGCGAGTTTATATCTCACAGTTCTGACTTTTCTTCTCAGAATTCCAAGTTTATAAATGTCAGAATTGCTAGATCTAAACTCAGAATTATGAGACATGAACTTGCAATTTTGAGGAAATTTTTATTTTATTTTTAATAGTTTATATCTCGTAATTCTGACCTTTTTTCACGCAATTGAGAGTTTACATTTCAATTATTTATTTATTTATTGTTTGTTTCCACAACGGAATAAAAAATAAAAAAGGTCATTTCAAATTTTTTAATCACAAATCTGACTTTTCTTCTCAGAACTGCGAGATATAAACGAAAATGCCTGTAGTGTCTTGCCTTAAGAGTTTTGAGACACTCAGCTGGTATTTAAAGGCTAAAAAAGCACCTATTTAACAATGTCATGCCCTTCAGTAAATCAGTTAGCATTTTCACCTATTTAATATTCCCCTGGTTACTTTACATGTCGTTCAGACTTCTTCTTCCTGTCTAAGGGGCCTGAATGAACTGCAGTGTGATTCAGACTTTATGGCAGCAATAAGAAAGACTATTCAGGACCAGGATGCTACATGCAAACACACTGTCCTACCATCACCATGTCTCCAGTGAGCGAGTTGGCAAGGTCAGACACTGAGGAATGACCGTCTGCGTCTGGCGGCTGACCCTTAGGACTGTTAGCTGGCTTATTCCCCATATTCCTACTGCAGGGTGAGAGACAGACAGAGACAAACAGAGATCACTAAACATACCAGTCATGTGTGACTTGCCCTGTGTTTCTTTCTCTTTGCCACAGAATCAAACCTTCAAACCCAGACGACCTTTTGAACTCTAAGAGCGCCGACTCGTATTATTCTGACTGGCTTCGTCACAAAGTTTAGAAACGGAAAAGAATATGAAGGTCTTCTTCTAAATTAATAACAAGCATGGGAACGCGTATTACTTTCAATCGCTCGAACACAATGAAATAAAGCCACAACAGAGAAATAGAACAGGAAAATCACATAGTTCAAACTTTTACACATTTCCTGTTACAAAACATAAAAACATAGTGGGACAAAAAGTTACTTCAGTTTATGCTGTAGCACAGCCAAAAATACAAATAAAACATACAAAAGACACCCTTAACTGCCAAATATTCAGGGTTATTAATGTCTCAGCAAACATAAAAAGCTGTCAATTCATCATGTCACGATGTGGTCCATTGTGTTTTCCAAGGGCTGGTGTCCGAAGTCGGATTGGGACGGATGGCCTGGACTGGAAAATCTACATAAAGGAATGCTGTGGGTTCAGGACAAGCTAAGATGGTTGATAGTAATTTGTGATATAATGTTTATTACCACAGAAAATAATTATCTCATTAACTCATGCATCCATTATAAATAATGTTTACTGTTACACAAAAAGGTTTTACTTAATTTAAAGGAACATTCCACTATTTTTGAAAATAGGCT